TATGGCCGGGCAATGCTTTATCCTCTGCTGTTATATAGGTTCGCTTCGGCACCTTTTTCCAGAAGAGACCCGTCTCGTCACAATTAAACCCCTGTTTCGGCAGGTAATCCTCAGAATCTACGAGCTTCTTGAAGTCGCCGATGAAGTTCTCTGCTGCCTTTGTGTCGAAGCTTGCTGCTTCACCTTGCCTTACACCGCTGTGGATGCCGGTTCTTCTCTTAAACTTCTCGAACCACCCACGGCTTCCCTTAAATGCTTCTTCTTCGGCCGTTGAAGATCCTGGCGTCTTCTTAACGAGGTCGGCGAAAATCACTTTCACCTTCTCACAAATGATGTTCTCGTTAATAGTGTCGCCTTGCAATTGCTTTTCGTTTATCCATATGAGGAGCAACCTTTCAACATCGTCGAGAATACGTAACCGTTGGGTAGGTATTCTTGTCACTCCCTTGAAGCATTTCTCTCCTTAATCTTGTCCTTGTTCTTGAGGATAGTGCAAATCTTGATGTAGACCGACTGTGTGTGCGTGCTAGATCAGCCACGCTCACACCTCGTTCTCTCTTTTCAATGATTTTACGTTTAATTTCTACGGTTATTTTTATTCTCTTATGGCTGTCTTTTTGCGGCTTTTTCTTCGGGGACATTTTTGCAAGGGTTATTAAATTTTGCACACAAAAAAGTCACAAATAATAAGTCTGAACACAAGCGACACTAAGATGCTAGCGGAACGAGTGCTAAACACAGACTGATGTAGCAAGCGCACAATCCGGGATTTCCCCTCTCGTCACTCGTTATGCGAAACATCGCTCGTTAAGCGAGTTATCTTTTTTACAATGTGTGTTGCTCGTTATGAGAGGTGCTCATTAAGCGAGGTTCCACTATACTCGGAAAAAACCTGCCCCAGCGCCACTTTGTGCACCACAAATCCCACTTGAACAGACCCGGGATCGAACCCGGTCCGCTGCGGTGAGAAGAGAGCGACTAACCGCTTGAGCTATGGCGCGGCCTGTGTATAAAAGTAAGTAAAAGTAAAGCTATCCCTGTAAAAGGCCGTGAAGGCCCATAGGGTTGTGAGACGTTGAGGGTCCCACATTATCTAGACAGTCGGCTCGAAGATGGTGGTAAGATTGTCAGGCTTACGCGCCGGCCGCGTTTTACTCCCCAGGAAAATTATTTAATTAATTAGTGTAGTTGGTTGAGGCACTATGCCACAAGCCGGAAGGTCCCGTTTTCAAGTCCCGATGGGGACATTGGATTTTTTCAATTGACCTAATCCTTCCAGCCTCACTATGGCCCTGGAGTCGACTCAGCCTCTAACAGAAATGAGTACCAGGAATGTATGTGTGTATGTATATTGAAATTTAAATGAATTAACAGAAACTGGATTAATAATCACCGTCTCTTGTTAATATCCCTTCTCTCATTATGTCTTGACTTGTACTATTTTGAACACACACAAAACAGCGTGCTCCCTATGTACGCCGCATAGCGAAAATTTCTTTAGTTCAATGGGGGAGACTGTGCCAACATAACCGCATGAAATAGGGAAATATAAAGCTCGTGGTTGGTGTACAGTGTAGACAGTTTGTGTTGTTGTAGTGTAGCAGTAGGGAAGTGAATCTGGAAACTGTCTCTGGCCCACTAACGAGTTCTATTCATCCAGCCTTTCCATAAAAGACTTTCATTATATCTGTTTAAGGATATTATTTTTGACATAGAATGTGCTGTACGTATAGGAACGAGGATGCTGGTTTAAGGACACTGAAAATTTCTGTAGAGCCTAATCTGATTTTTGTTACACTTAAATTTGTGAATGGTATTCAAGAGCAAAAATGTCACTTTTTTCTGGATTCTTCAGACGTCTGAGGTTTTTGACAGTTGGTGAGTACATTATCATTAGCATTATTATTATTATTATTATTATTATTGTTATTATTATTATTATTACCATCATGATCATCATCAAATCTCCTGAAGACTGCAACCCACTACAGTCTGACATTAACTGTATACAAAGTTGGAGCATTGCTAACTCTATGAAACTCAACATTAGTATAAGTAAAGTCATATCCTTCTCCAGGAAAACCGACGTACTAATCAACGATTATAAAATTTGCCAATCCTCTATAAGCCGGACCGACTCAAAGACCTTGGAATAGTTATTGATGCTAAACTTNAAAGCTATCCCTCTAACAGGCCATGAAGGCCCATAGGGTTATGAGACGTCAAGGCTTCCACATTTTGTCTAGATGGTCGGCTCACAGATGGCGGTACCCGGGTTCGATCCCGGGTCTGGTCAAGTGGTATTTGTGGTGAACAAAGTGGCGCTGGGGTGGGTTTTCTCCGAGTACTTCGGTTTCCCCTGCCAATCTTCATTCCACCAAATTCTCCATCATCATAATCACCCGTGGCAGGTACAATAGGCCAATCAGTGGCCGCCGTGCCGAGTGAACCCAGTTGGACTCCACCCCCACTAAGCGAATTAAGAGAAAGCTGTTGGGTCTAGTTCGTAGCATTACCCTAACCTTGTATGAATATTATCTTTACTCGCTGCATAATGGCATATTGCAAATATATTTATTGTGCTTTTCTCATTTCTTAATGATAACTTTGATTTTTCATGAAATTATTATTATTATTATTATTATTATTAATTTATATAAACTGCTTTATTTTATATTTTGTAAGTTTTGTTATTTTCTTCTACGTACTCGTGTTAACTTTGTAATTGGCCTCTGAGCCCTTAAGTTTGCACGTTAATAAAAAAAGATTTGAATTGAATCATTTTCACAAAAATGGATTTCTACGTTCTGTAGGCCTATTATGAGCGTATTGTGTTACCTGTTGTTCTCTGCTAGTGTCCTTACTAGCTCATGAATTGACTATAATTCCAGAAGCGTTACAGATTATTTTAGCTTACTGAAATTTATGTTTCTTGTGCGTAATACTGCAGTATTTAATGTAACAACGTTATTTATTAGGAAGAAATACCTGACAGGGGACATTAGCCCAATTTTATTATATACTGTGTGCAGTACTTTTAATTACACCTGTCAACTGTATTTGCTTCATTTGTCATTTCGTAATAAGTGGAGTTAGGACTAAATCCTTCCACATTACACGTAAACATGTTCAACAGCTCATTTCAAGCTTGCCATCTTGCTAGTCATTCATATAAAATAGATCTAAGGTAATGACATTTAATGAAATACTAATTACCACGTAATAGGCCTGCCATAGCTCAAGCGGTTAGTCGCTGGCTTCCCATCGCAGCGGCCCTTGTTCGATCCCGGGTCTGGTCAAGTGGGATTTGTGGTGGACAAAGTGGCGCTGGGGCAAGTTTTCTCCGAGTACTTCGGTTTCCCCTGCCAATCTTCATTCCACCAATTGCGCCATAATCACCTTCACCTATCATCTGGGGCTGGTACAATAGGCCAGAAGTGGCCGCAGTACAAGGGACTTAGTCCCACCCCATTAGCAATAAAAAAATACCACGTAATATATTGGTCAATGCCTTCATTGGAGCTGGTTGGATTGTTTACTAAACATTACCGATCTAGCGGTATTTAAGGACGCGGTGCGGTCTCCTTACTCGGGTCTTTACGTTCACCATGCAAGCTCCTAATTCCGCAAATTATTCAAATAATTTTAATCTTCACCTGAATTTTTGCCCAGTTTTCATGTAGTACTGTGGTTAGTGGTTTGTTTTACGAAGCTGTCAGTATGCAGATTATACGGTGTTGATTTTAGCAGGACAGCTCAGTCAGTAAAGTGAGCAGCTTCGAGCTAGACCATACTTCGATATGCAGAAGAAATGGGGATTTTTCACTTTTCCCTTCTTCTGCCGCTCGAACACAGGGTTTGTGGGTTGAGATACTACTCGGATTATGTTTTGTCCTGTGTTAGTGGAGACCTAGCGACTGACTATTCCAACATCCAAGGGGTGAAGAGATTCTGAAACCTAGGTATATGGCAGTCTTTGGATCGCATTGGTCGGCTTGCCATTCAAGAAGAAGAAGAAGAAGAAGAAGAAGAAGAAGAAGAAGTTGCACTCACCCAGTATATACTAAAATGAGGAGCCAGGTTAGATCAGCGGTATAGCGACGGGCTGCCTTCTGGACGGCAAAGGTTCAATTTCCGGCAGGGGCAGAGCTTTTTTCCACTCCACAGTGTTCAGACTTCCTCTGGGGCTCACCCAACCTCCTATCCAATAGGTAACGGGGTCTCTTTCCCCGGGGTCAAAGAGTCCGGGTGGTGAAGCTGACCACTCACCTCCGTCTAGTTCCCAGGTCAAGAATGGTGGGGTTATACTTCCACTCCGCCATACGCCTTTATAGCGCGGTGCTTAATTAATTAAACTCCGGGACAACTTGAACTTTTTTCACTGATCCTACAGCCCCCTTGAGCCCTGGCCTCTGATTTTCAGTTTCATGATCATTTTACAGGCGGTAGGATTCCTTGGACGAGAGATCAGCTCGTCGCAAGGCCTCTACCTAAACACAGGACAACACAAACACAGAATAAACACATACACATACCAAACATCCATATCTTATGTGGGATTCGAACCCACGATCCCTGCTTCCGAGCGAGCGAAGACAGTACATGCCTTAGACCGCTCGGCTACCCTGACTGGCATTTTACCTTTACTTTACTAGAATGACCATCACACGAGTCTGAACAAGCTTTCCAAAAAGTGTACGCTGGAACGAGATGCCTAAGGTTACGCATATGGACGTAAATAGTAACATAGCCAGATGTCGAAATTCATCATCTTGTTCAAACAAACAAAAAAAGTCCGTGGTTTTAGTCCGCAAGCGAACTATACCGACCGAGCGACCGCCGCTTGTCAGCGAAGTTAGTGACAACTTTTGTGGATAGAGGGTGTTGCGAGGTCAGCGCAACGAATCCCCGCGACCGTTTGTTCAAGCAAATAACTGAAAGAAAATTTGAAGAAGATATAAGATGAGTAAAATAACACCAAAGTAGAAGACCGTCGTTACTTGTGGCAGTGCAGACTGGTTCCTCGCCCACCCACTTGTCCTCACTGCAGTACAGGCGGTCCACTGACGGATCCTGCAGGCTGTATCCCTCTCGGCACTTGTACACGGCCGCCAGGTATCGGTTGTGCGGCTTCTCCGGGTTCTTGCGTCTGCAGCACAAAACATCCACGTGTAGTCAGACCCTGTAGCATGGAGGCTCAAACTCTACTTCTGGAAGCCTCCGCTGCATCACTTCAGCTGCTACATTAAAAACAAAAAAATAATTACTCGTACAATGCCCAGATCGTACAAATGGAACTTTTAAGACAGTGTCCCTTACACTACGCAGCATAACATGATCGTTCTAAAACTGTAGTGGATGTATAGGTGTGGTTAGTTACTGCAGACTGCATTCGGCGGCTGGAACGTAAAACGGACATATCAAACTGAGATTGTTTATATCGAGGACCGTCGAGGCAGTACGGATTAAGATGACCCTTATGATGGTGAGCCAATCTCAGTGACCTTAGTGACCTTGTGGTCTAAGGCATGAAATATTTCCGCCCGCTCATACGCTGGGATCCTTTGGTCGAATCCCACTCAATTCACGAATGTTTGTGTTGTCCTGTGTAAGTAGCGGCCTTGCGTCAAGCTGATCCCCCGTCCAAGGAGTTCTACTGACTGTCTAAGATTAAGAAACTGAAATGAAACGAAGTGTTTCTAGGATTCCCTATGCTCCCATTGGAAGCAACAGGAAATGGACGGATGGTTAGGTAGGTGGGTAGGTGGGTGGATAGGTAGGTAGGCGAGAGGGCAAGCTGGTATGATGGTGATATTCTGGCAGCCTGAGAGAATGTATAACGATGTCGTGTTGCTAAAAGAAATTTGTGAAACACAGTTTCCTCTTCCAATTTTTTGCCTATTCCATTTTCATTCTTAGCCTGGTTTCGGTATTGAATAATGAAAGACGTTGCCATTCTACGTACTCGTATCTGTGTGAGATATATCTCCTAATGAGCCCCAACCAGTATAAAGAGCTTCACGAAAGCTTGATATGAACATCATGCCACTTGAGTCCAACCTTCACCTGTATGCTTTTGAATTGCTTACAGTCGACAATATGTGCATGACGACGGCCTAGAGGCTTCTGAAGTCATTGTGCTGGCGTCATTCAACATGCACAGAAATTTGGGTCATAATTATTCGAAATATTTGCAACATCGTTAGCCACGTTCTTGTATGACATAAAATTACATTCATATTGCAGCGGGAAATGCATATCCGGGTTTCGTATGGAAATATGTACATTGAGTCCATAAATATTCTTAACAAGCAAAAAACATTTCTTTATATTGTGAAATTACAAGCCTGTCGACCCTTTATATATTTTCAGAATGCATCAGGCAACTTCAGCGTATTGACCATTCAGGTTTAAGAACAACGAACAACAACAGAAAGTCTCCGTGGGTTCAGTCCGCAAGCGAACTATACCTACCGAGCGACCGCCGCTTTTCGGCGAAGTTAGTGCCAACTTTTGCTGATAGAGAGTGTCCACTTGGTCAGCTCAACGGATCCCTACGGCCGTTAATTTCGGTTTTCTAGACCTGAGCCGCTATTTCCTTGCAATAGCTCCTAAATTATCCTCACGAGGCTGAGTGGACCCAGTTCCAGACCAACTACATCTCAGAAAGTCGCCGGGAATCGAACTCGGACCTCTGGATCTGTAGCCAGAAACTCTGACCACTCGACCAGAGAGGCGGTCGTTTAAGAACAACAGCTCGCACATTTGGTTTGCAGACCGCCCCAGTCTTTAGCATAGGGATAGGAAGTGTAGACCCATGCAATGGGGTAACGACGATTCTGGGGACAAGAGAGAGGCTAAATGTATGAGCCCTTCTAACATAAGAATACAGGCCTGCCTCACATTCCCTCATCCCGTCTCAACACCATAAGCTCGTCGTTTTGCCACCAGCTGGGGATACTTGTGTGCTTATGCGCATAGCTGGCGCCTGCAAGCGTCACAACTGCAAAGTTAATTGTAGTAAGTTGGAATCAGTGAAAGGTTTTGCATAAAAGTGAAGTCACTTTGTTGCAATATTTTCTTTTTCGTTTATTTAAGAATACTTTCACTTATATGTGGAGCCGGTATAGCGACTGGCTACGGGCTGGACGGCCGAGGGTAGGAGCAAGATTCTTCTCTTCTCCACCTCATCCAGATGGGCCCTGAGGCTCACTCTGCCTCTGTCCAACGGGCAACAGGGACCCTTCCTCTGGTGGTAAAGTGGCCAGGGCGTGAAACTGACCCCTCAAATTCAACTAGTGCTCGAGGTAACGACTACTTGGATCTCCGTGTATGCATCCACTCCCCCATACGTCTTCATAGCATAAATATTAATCAGTTAAACCCAGGGACAATTTTACCTTTGCCTTATGTTTTACTTGTATTTAATTATATTTTATCATAGAGGAAGTTGACTCAAACGGTAACGAACTTGGTTTGTATGCGGAAGATGCCCGGTTTGAATCTCGGCCGGGACATTGAGGATTTTCATGATCTTCCTCAGGTTGTCCACAGAAATTTTGGAATACAACCGCTATTAGCATATGATCACTTCCTTCCACATCCTTTCCAGTTCATTATTCACCAGTCATTCTGCTGTCCGACGCTTTATTCTCTGAGATATTGGCAGCAACACTAAAGACTGCATCTATATATATATATATATATATATATATATATACACTTAGTTATTTAATTTAACTCCGTGGCTGAGATTAAGATGGCACGTTGACAAACTAAACAGTATTTGCAGCCCACAATTACTTTGGCCGAGCAGGGCCGAGCCGCTTGTACCTATAACGCAGGCCTCCAGGCACTTCCCTCTGCATTAGGCCGAGGCGCGTGATCAGCTTAACTGTCCGGTCGCTTGTCGACTGTGGTTCCTTCTAGCATCACTGCACAGGTAAAATGCAGTGACGAAAATAGAGGAACATGAATTCTTTCCCGAATTCTTCGTTCAGAGTGTCGGTGTGGTGAAGCTATCCCTTCAACAAGCCATGGAGGCCCATACGGTTGTGAGACGTCGAAACTCCCACATTTTCTATACAATCGACTTACAGATAACGGTGAGGTTGTCAGCCTTATGCGCCGGCCGCCCTTTAACCCCAGGGAGAATACCTGGTAGTCATTTCTGTTAGAGACTGAGTCGACCCCAGGGACATACTGCGCCTGGAAGGATTAGGCCAACTGAAAAAATCCAATGACCGCATCGGGGAATCGAATCCGAGACTTTCCGGTTTATAGCATAGTGCCTCAACCAGTTACGCTACAACGGTTACGTTTTCGTAGCGTAACTGATTTGGCGTGAAGGGGGGAGGTGGATTAAATATAATAGATTTGAAGTTCCAAGCCCATAAATTAAATTTGTGGCTCGGGATATTCGTGTAATCGAATCACGACTCAGAGAAACTTAAGCTTCCCACACTGTCGGTGCAGGCAGCACAACTGTTGCTCTCGTCACGGGTGTGCTATGCTGTTTTGAACTGAGGCTTCGTATAGATATTATACTTACTTACTTACTATGGTACAAAGCGGCCTCCGTAGTCTAGAGGTAACGTTCCCACCTCATGACTCGTAGTACGTGGGTTCAGATACCCGACGGAGGTCGTCGAATTTTTAAGGGCGGAAAAATTCAGGGAACAAGTCCTCCGGGAGGGACTTTAAGCTGTGGGTCCCGTGTCGTAGCTTTACGGCACGTAAAAGGACCTCATATCTCCAAAGGAGGTCACTGAGCCAAATTTACGGACGTTTCCCGCCCAACAGCAGTCTCTAATACCTCTGGTAGATGGGGGAAGCATTATAGGTACCTCTCAGCTAGTAGAGCCGGTCTCGCTGGCTGGGCGGGACTGATGGTAAGCACCAGTACCGGTAGGATATAGAGACTGGTAGAAATCATAGAGGGAAGCACAATGGACCAATACAGGTCTCAGTGCATGGGGAAACCCACCCTCTCCAATAACTAACTAACTAACTAACTAACTAACTAACTATGGTACAATAGGCCAGAAGTGGCCGCAGTACAAGGGACTTAGTCCCACCCCACTAGCAATACTTACTGTACTTACTCACTTACTTACTCATGGAGCTGAGCCCTTCTTGAGGAGAAGCCAAATCTACAGCTACTCAAGAATTTCCCAGCATTTTATGGAACCCGAAGGTTCATTACCGTGTTCACAAGAGCCCTCCACTGGTCCCTATCCTGGACCAGTTAAATCCAATCCATATCATCCCATCCTATATCTCTCAGATCCATTTTAATATTGTCCACCCAACTACGCCTTCGTCTCCCCAGTGGTCTCTTTCCTTCTGGCTTTCTCACTAATATCCTATATGCTTTCCTCGTCTCCCCTTAATGCTACATGCCCTGCCCACCTCATCCTCCTTCCAAGCATAAATAAATAATTTTTTGATCATCAATTATTTCTGAACATCAGTAAATGACATCAAATTTTGGAAGATTATTATTGAAGTAGGAAGGTGGCGCAAGTTTGCATTTCGTGTCCTGACATAATTGTGGAGGCCCTGATAGCCAGCATTACGGAGGCTTGATGTGGGTTTACAACTTACTCAGAAGTAAATAAAGAGATGAAGCTGTTTGGCAACTTTTGGTTTGTATAGTAAGTATAAACTGTGAATAAGGCATAATTCGTGACCACCATTTGTAAACATTCTCCTCCATCCCAATTTGGAGAGGCAACCTACACATTTCTCCACTAGTACTACTCACACACAACCAGTCCCTCTTTGTGGCTGATGTGACTAATTCCTGCCTCTGGATACAGCATAATGAATATGATTGCGTGATTAAAACATGTAATTCAACATACAAATTATCATAATTAAATTGGGCTGGTTATATTCTTTAAGAAGGAGATCATGCCTCTATAGCCGTCACTGTTCAGATGTGTTGGTGTAAAGTTCGTGTGTACTTGCAAATAGCGCAGGATTACAAAGTAATTATTCTGACAATCAGTGCTATTGCTGTCACGTGATGCCAGCTGCAGAGCTCTGTATTTTCAGTCTTTCATTATGGTGCCACCATGTCTGTGTGACCCGAGTAGCGTTGGGTTTGTATTTGGGGGGTGATCACTTCGAATCTCTGTTGTCACACATGTTATCTTTACTGAGATATTTCGTGGTTTTCATCAATCCCTGAAGTTAATGGCGGGATAGTACCTCCATTTTCGTGTCGTTCTAAATTCTCTCCAATTTACTTTTCACTATTCACTTTACCTTTCGACCGTATCTTGCCTGTCAATTTGCAGTTGGCTTTCCGGCCCTAAGGGACCGATGTCCGTGTTCTTATATCTCACGACGCTGCATACTCTGGGACACAGACTGCTTGGTTAAATCTCCCCAATCCCATTGCTAGCGACTACCTGCTCTTATATTCCATTTCTGCCTAATCGGTAACAAAAGTACGAGGTAGCGTAGTTGGTTGAGGCACTATGCTACAAGCCGGAAGGTAGCGGGTTCAAGTCCCGATGAGGTCATTGGATTTCTTTCAATTGACCTAATCCTTCCAGCCGCACTATGGCCCTCGGGTCGACTCACCCTCTAACAGAAATGATTACAGGGAATATTCTTGGGCGTAAAGGGCTGACAACCTTATCGCCATCATGAACCGATTGTCCAGAAAATGTGGGAACCTCAACATCTCACAACCCTATGGGCCTCCACGGCCTGTTACAGGGTTACTTTTACTTACTTTACTATAACAAAGGTAGACTTTTCAGAATATCTGTATATATTTAAATTTCTAGTAAAACTCTTTCAGTATGGGGCACGCGGTAGCGTAGTTGGTTAAGGCACTATGCTACAAGCCGGAAGGTGGCGGGTTCTAGTCCCGATGAAGTCACTGAATTTATCAATTTACCTAATCTTTCCAGCTGCAATGTGCCCCTGCGATCGACTTAGCCTCTAACAGAAATAAGTACCAGAAATCTTTCTGAAGGGTAAAGGGCGGCCGGCGCGTAAAGCTGAGAACCTGAGAGAAGTTGAGCCGATTGTCTAGAAGATGTGGGAACCTCTACCTGTCACAATCCTATGGGCCTCCACGGCCTGCTACAGGGATAGCTTTACCGTTAGCTTTTACTATTTGAATATAGTCTTCTCTGATTATGAAGTATGAGGTAGAAATCATAAGAGTTTTTTGTAAGATAACGTTGTTATATTGTCGTTACTGGGAGCACTTATTTACTAAGCCTTAATATCCACTTACGATCTTGGTGTCAGTTCATTGTCTACTCGTTACTCCTCCATAAATCGACCTGTCGACCATTGCACTGTCCTCTTCTCTTGTTTTTACTCCGCCTGCACTGAAGTAATTACTCGTCTTCAGGAGTAGATAGTAGGATGATATTAAAATTAATCTTAAACAAATAGGATATGAAGATTTGGACTGCATGTGACTGGATCAGGTCAGGATCCATTGATAGATTCTTGTGAACCAGGCAATAAACCAAAGAGTTCTATAAAACGTGGATCATTTCTTGACTATATAAGCAGTTTCCAGCTTCTCAAATTGGCCCTGTTAAGAATATTCCTGCCCCAACTGAGGATAAACTTGATGATAGAAAGGACAGCTGGTATGAGGAAGTAGAACTTGCATGCATTAAGTAATTTTCATATGAATCTTTTGTTATGAGACGTCGTAAGAGTAGGAAGAGAATATATTTTCAACCTGAAAGGTGGTCGAAACTAGCCGTGATGATGGTGTAGTTTCATGAGGCCTAGTTAGTTAATGAATTGGATATACCTCGTATATTTTGCACCGGAAGTGTTGGGGAGGTCCGGAGCCTTGAGCAGACCGCGTCCCAAGAGGCAGCTGAGGTCGAGTCGAGCGGCCATGGTTTTGTTGAGGTGCGCCGGTGAGACGGCCAAGATCTGGTTCTCGTGAGATCTCGTTCTGAGGCGGCGGCCTACGGCGCAAAGGAACACATTCTTAGGTTTCGGTAACAAGTCAACACGGTCTCCTAGGTTCTAACGCCATGTAGTTCTGTAGAAGTCACAGACGTTTCGGAGGAATACATAGTCTCCATCTTCAAAGTCGAAGAGTAGACCAAGAAAGAAGCAGGACACGCCATGCTGTCTACTTCTTACTGCTTGAACTTGAAGATGAAGATAATATATTCCTCCGAAACGTCGGTGGACTGCTGCTGAACTGAACAGCACTACAGCCCAGAAGATCGTGCTTTTCATAGTCACAGCTGTGAGAACATCAGATCCAACAATCTCACTGACCTTTGCCCTTCTTCTTGTGATTCTTCCTTCTGGGACCACGCTTAGCTCGAGTGTCAGCTGCAGGATCGAGAGCATCGGCCAACATTTCACTCGCGTCTGCAGGGGGCTCACTGCACATGCAATGCGCACACAACTCGTATAAGGCATCTGTGTACAGTGCGTCGCAAATTAACCAAATCCACGGCTCTGAGACTTTCTTTATAAATTGGTAGCTGCTTAGTTGCTAAAACAAATTGCCGAATTGTAAACAACCCGAATGTTCATTATCGTATTCACAAAAGCCCTCCACTGTTCCCCATTCAAAACCATATAAATCCAGCCAACATTCTTCCTCCCTATTTCTTTAGGATCCATTATAATATTATCCTGCCAGAAATTTAAGCCGGAATAACGTAGTTGGTATAGCGACTGGCTATGGGCCGAGGGGTCGGAGTTCGAGTCCCGGTAGGATTAATAATTTTCACTTCTCCATTCGTCCAGACCGGCTCTGGAGCCCACCCAACCTCCTGTGCAATGGGTACCGGGGGTCTTTCCCGGGGGTAAAGCGGATGGGGCGTGAAGCTGACCGCTCAACTCTAAAAAGTGCCGAGGTCAAGAAAATGTGGATCTATACATCCACTCCCCCATCCGCCTTCAGGGTGTAGTGCTTAATTAGTTCAGCACAGCGACAACTTACCTTACCTTACCTGCCAGAAATTTGTACCCATTTCTCTCCTCTCCCATGCGTGCTACATACCCCGCGTATCTTTTTCTATGTGATTTAATTATTCTAATAATATTTTAAGACGAGTGCAAGTTATGAAACCCCTCGTTATGCAATTGTATCGAGCCTCTTTTTACCCCATCTCTCTGATTGTATTCACCACACGCCATATTTTATCCAATTTATTAACAACTTAATGAGTTTTCTAACCCAAAGTTGCTGATTAGGGTGTCTTTACGCTAAAATCAATAATAGGCATTTCAGTATATTTTTATGTTGTTCATTATGTCTGTTCCGAATGCAAGAAAATCGATTACTGGAATATTTACTCCGAGCGAACAAACAGACACAGCCACCTCAAACCCTCTCTGCGCAAAGAACGCCTACAATATAAGTTCTTAAGTGGTTTAGGCTTTCTTGTCAGTCTGAGAGGATCCTCCTTAGGTGATTGGCCTTACCTTGAAAGCTACTTGTCCCAGACAACTTACACTTACAGGAGACTGGTCTGTGCTTTCCAGAAAGGCCCTTGGTCAATATTTTTATAGCTGAATGCCAAACACATTTTCAACATTCGGGATCCTCTGAAACAGGCGCCTTTTTAACGAGTATGTGGGTGATTTTGAACCTCCTCGTGTAATGAACAGCTCTACGTTACCACAGTTTACCGAACAACTTAGACAAAAAGTCGTGGACGACTCTTGTCAATTATTCCTGAAGTTTCGACCCATAAAGATTTTCATCTCGCTCTCTCTCTCAAAATAAGTCATCATCACTGAACCGAGACTCCCAATTTAGGAGCGTCAGAATCATTATATTTTTTGTCTATTATTTACCTGGATATTATTTCTGTTGAGCCCTCAGTCACATAAGAATTCTTCTCACCCCGGTGAAAAGGCGCCGACATCTTGTCCTTCTCATCTGTGAAAGATAACAGCAATCAACATTATTGACCATGGAAATCTCCTGTATAAACTTCCCTGATATTTAACTCTATTTAAACAACCGAACTATATTTAACCACCATATTTATGCATTAGTCTAGAGTGATTTTGCTGTATAAAATTCTTCCCTGCCCCTAATTTTGTTCGTGTAGTAACATAGTTGTCTGAATAAAAAATATCTTTCCATAATGCATAAAGCGATCTGTATCCAATGGGAAAAAAGATGTGTGATGTAATTTTTTATTCTTAGAGCTTCAATTTTATGATAAAATTAGTTCGGTCTTCTTTTCTTGCAATATCCTAACTTTCATATGTAAGTTAAAAGATGAAAGTACAAAGATTTGTTGTACAAGACCGAATAAATTTCGATATTTAAATATGGTCTACACAGTTCTTTAATAATTAATATGCATCCCACTAACGCACCAGCCTCTGGTTTCCTCCGCAAAAAGCTCTCTGGGGTGCTGCTGAAACCACTACATAACGCTTCCGCTAGCATCGTGTATACAGGTTTCCTCTGAACGGCCCTTAACATAACAATTAAAACATCGAGCCAGCTCTGTACCAAACGTTACCGTAACTCTGTATTTCCTGATCCCTCCACTTTGGAGCATCCGTGAAACTCTTTGTTTCACTTCAGTTTCTTAACCCTGAAACAGTCGATAGGACTCCTTGGACGGGTGATCAGTCCGTCGCAAGACCGTTACTTACACAGGGCAGCAAAAACAGAATAAATAAAACAAACATCCATCCTTCGAGTGGGATTCGAACTCACGATCCCAGTATTCGAGCGAGCATTAGACCTCGCGGCCACAGTGATCGGCTACTGGTGTTGTGTGTAACACAATTCCAAAACGTCAATAGGTAATTCACAAGTAATTCATATATGAATTTGTTCTGTATTAGTTTCATGTTGGAGGTGAAATATTACGTTCTAAGATCTATAACAAATAAAAACAAACTCCGTGGTTTTAGTCCGCAAGCGAACTATACCGACCGAGCGACCGCCGCTTATCGGCGAGGTTAGTGCAAACTTTAGCCGATAGAGGTTGTAGCGTGGTCAGCCCAACTAATCCCCACGACGATTAGTTTTCGGTTTTCTAGACCGGAGCCGTTTTTTCCTTGAAGTAGCTCTTCAGTTATCCTCACCAGGCTGAGTTGACCCCGTTGCAGATCCATTACTTCTCAGAAAAATTGGTAGCGCCGGGAATGGAACCCGAGACGTCTGGATCTGTAACCATGAGCTCCGACCTATACACCACAGAGGCGGTCTTTAAGACCGATAAGCTAATTAATTCTATTTGGAATAAGGAAAAATTCCCTGATCAGTGGAAGGAGTCTATTACTATACTAGTTCACAAGAAGGCTGATAAAACTGACTGTAGTAATTATCGTGGGATATCACTCAACTTCATACAAAATTTCATCCAATATTCTTCTCTCAAGGTTAAGTCCGTATACAGATGAATTTTTTCGGTATCATCAGCGTGGGTTTCAACGTAACAGATCAACTACTGAACAGATATTTTGCTTTCCTCAGATACTGGAGAAAAAATGGGAGTACAGTGAGACAGTACATCAGCTGTTCGTAGACTTGAAGAAAGCCTATGATTCAGTTAGGAGGGAAGTATTGTACAATATTCTGATAGAGTTTGGTAAACCTGTGAAACAAGTTAAGCTGGTTAAAATGTGTTTAAACGAAACGTATAATAAAGTCCGTGTAGGTAAATATTTGTCTGATAAATTTCCTATCCAGAACGGTCTAAAACAAGGAGATGCTTTATCGCCACTCCTTTTCAACTTTGCCTTAGAATATGGCATTAGGAAGGTCCAGGGAAGCCAGGTGGGACTGAAATTAAACGGGACACATCAGCTGTTGGTCTATGCCGATTATGTGAATCTCCTGAGTGATAATGTAGATACCATAAAGAAAAACACAAATTTTAAATGACGCTAGTAAGGAGGTTGGTCGAGAAGTAAACATAGAGGAAACTAAGTATATGTTGCTGTCTCGTGACCAAAATGCAGGGCAAAATCATGACATAAAGATAGCTAGCAAATGTTTTGAAAATTTGGCACAGTTCAGGTATTTGGGAATGACTATAACAAATCAAAGCCTGATTAAAGAGGAAATTGAGAGGAGACTGAATGTAGGTAATGCTTGCTACCATTCAGTGCAGAACATTTCGTCTTCTCATCTGCTGTCTAAAAATATAAAAATTAGAATACATGAAATTATAATATTGCCTGTCGTTTTGTATGGGTGTGAATCTTGGTCTCTGGTATTGAGGGAGGGAAATAGACTGAGGGTGTTTGAGAACAGGGTGTTGAGGAGAATATTTGGACCAAAGAGAGATGACATGACGGGAGGTTGGAGAAAACTGCATAATGAGGAGCCATAACGTGTACTCTTCTCCAGTATACCCTATTTACGCATGTATAGGCCCCACATTTTTTGCCAAAAATTCAAGAGGAAAACTGGGGTGCGGCTTATATTCAAAATATTCGAAATCACACTTCATTTAAAAAAAATTATATTCATAATTAGTAATACAGGGTGTTCTACTCCTGAAATAATATTCCAAGAAAATTATTTTTTCTATAATTTCTGTCTGAAAATTGTGCTGCGGCCTATACACGCACGCGGCCTATACATGCCTAAATACGGTAATTAGAATGATCAAGACAAGGAGGATGAGGTGGGCAGGGCATGTAGCATGAATGGGGGAAGAGAAGGATTGCATACTGAATATTGGTTGAAAGCCTGAAGGAAAGAGACCATTAGGAAAACCAAGAAGAAGGTGTGTGGACAATATTAAAATAGATCTTAGAGTTAAAGGATGGGATTGTATGGATTGGATTGATCTGGCTCAGGATAGGGACAAGTGGAAGGCAACACGGCAATGAACTTTCGGGTTCCATAAAATGCTAAGAAATTCTTGAGTAGCTGAACAATTGGCAGCTTCTCGTGAAGGGCTCAGTTCCATGAGTGAGTGATTAGTCTCATATTTTCAATATCTTGTGTCAAAAGGCGACATGTTGTAAGAAGGGAGTGTGCTGAGGTTACCAACATATCGAGTCATAAAAATATAAATTTCATAGTAGTCCGTGATGATGATGATGTTGATGATGATGAGAGTAATTCGAAGACGGCAACAGCAGAAATTAATGTGGCAAGTTTTTCTTCAGTCTTTCCAGGCGAATAAAATGATTGAAGACTACCTTAATATGGCGGGGTATTGGTGGTGTTGTAGTGGTAATGTGGAAATACTGCTATGGTCGAGACGTGGTGCTCGTGGCAGTAATATAACAGCGGTGTTGGTGGTAAGATCGACCATAACGACAAATATTGATCAGCCAACATACAGATAAAATTGTCGTACAATCATCTACAATAACAATCGCAGCAAAGGAAATATTTTGTTCGTACCGTGGGTTAATTGGAACAGATTAGGGAGTCACAAAAGAAGTAAAAACTGTCTCTGTTCACTATGTACTAGTTTTCAATTGCTTCTTCATGTCAGCTTCAGTGAGTGCTGTACGGCAACTTACTTCTTACAGTGTTTCTGTTGCGTTTCATCGTCTGCTTTGGATATTCTTATCATCGAATGTTTACATTTTGTGGAAGCGTCAAACTTTCACTCAGAAACTTATATCTCTCCACGTTCTGAACGCCTTTGCAGTTCAGCAAGTGTCAGAAACAGCGGATGACAGTTTGCGGTCCAACGCTCAATGCACTCGATTCTGTTTCCTCCATTTATGCTGTTTCGTTACATTTTGGCTGAGGTTCCATCGTTCTTTGCAGCTTCCTTCCAATTTCTGGGGTAACTAAAGACTTTGACTGCCAATCCGTACTTGAAATGTCGTCATATTCTTGTGCTTGTTTCAACCTAAGATATTTTAGCATTCGAAGTGTTTTCCGTCTTAAAATTCCTTTTTTCAGACTCAGATCCTTGGGAATTTATTTTGTGGTAAGCTTATTAGTATTTCGGAACACACTAATATTAACAACCTAAGCAACGATACAGGAGACAACGGTATCCTCCGCCATATTATTTAAGGCCTGATGGTGACCACATTGGTCGAAACATGTAGTGGAAAACTGTAAAGTGAATAACTTTTAGTAAGTTTTATAGAGGCCGCTCCATAGGTCAAGCGGTTAGTAGCTGGCTTCCCACCGCGGCGGCCTGGGTTCAACCCCGGGTCTGGTCAAGTAGGATTTGTGATGGACAAAATGACTCTGGGGCAGATTTTCTCCGAGTACTTCGGTTTCCCCCGTCAATCTTCATTCCACCAATTGCTCCACAATCACCCTCACCTATCATCTGGGGCTCCTACAATAGGCCAGAAGTGACCGCAGTACAAGGGACTTAGTCCCACCCCACTAGCATTAAAAAAAAAGTGTTATAGAACATTAGTGTTGCGCGTGAAACTGTGGAACTAACTGTTAATAATGAAAAGTGCATCAGGATGCTACAATATAAGTAATATCATGTCAAAAAGAATTTGTTAATATTTATTAAAAGTAAAGAATGTGTACCTTCTCAAGGAAGATGAGGTGGGCAGGGCATGTAGCACGAATGGGGGAGAAGAGGAATGCATATAGGATAATGGTGGGAAAGCCGGAAAGAAGGAGGACACTGGGAAGACCAAGACGTAGATGTGTGGACAATATTAAAATGTATCTTAGAGAGAGATGATGGGATGGTATGAATTGGAATGATCTGGCTCAGGATAGGGACCAGTGTAGGACTCTTGTGAACACGGTAATGAACCTTCGGGTTCCATAAAATGCTGGGAAATTCTTGAGTAGCTGCAGAATTGGCGGCTCCTCAAGAAGGGCTCAGCTCCAGGAGTAAGTAAGTAAGTAATGCAGCCCTTCGTTATAAATACAATGCTCTGTATTCACTGGTTACTTACACGTAACCCAAACGTCCCCGTAATTTTGCTCGCGGCCTACCCAATATCCCCTATATT